CCCAAGAGGGACGGACATGGGACCGACCACGACGACGACGACGACGACGTCGACGACAACGGCGACGACGAAGACGACGACGGCGACGACGACGACCAGCGAAAGCGAGAGCGAAAGAGAACGACAGCAGGGCCACAAGGACACGAAGTAGGCCACGAAGGGCAACAGCGGGGACACGAAGGGAATGCGTATGGGGCCACCACGGGCGCGAACGAGCGGGGGCCACGAAGGGCAGATAATGCGGGGCCACAGAAGGCAACGATGGGGCCACTGAGGGTAGCAACTGGGCCACGTAGGACAGATGCATATGGGGCCACCACGGGCGCGAACGAGCGGGGGCCACGAAGGCCATACATATACGGGGCCACGATGGGCGGCGAGGGGGCCACGAAGAGATGCAACGGGGCCACGAAGAGCAGCGAAGGGGCCACGAAGGGCTGCAACGGGGCCACGAAGGGCTGCGACGGGGCCACGAAAAGCAGCGAGGGGGCCACGAAGGGCTGCAACGGGGCCACGAAACAAAGCGAGGGGCCACGAAAGGGAGCAACGGGGCCACGAAGGGCCGCAACGGGGCCACGAAGGGGAGCGAGGGGGCCACGAAGGGCTGCAACGGGGCCACGAAGGGCTGCAACGGGGCCACGAAACAAAGCGAGGGGGCCACGAAGGGCTGCAACGGGGCCACGAAGGGCAGCGAGATCCCGATTCATATGTAATCTGTGACGGAGTCCTAAGCGTGAGCGCGACTCCTGGGTGCCTGGCAGTCGGGAGCGCGGCGCTTCAGTCAATTGCAAGACATTCCAACGCAAGGGCGCCATTCTCCAGTAAATTGCAAGCGAGTCTCCAGCGAAAGCGCGACTCCAGAGCGCCGGGAGAATGAATTCTAAGGAAGTCCCAAACGAGCGCGCGATTCCCGAATAGAACGTGAGGAAGTCTCGGGCGGGAGCGGGGGTCCTGGCTAAATTGTAAGGAAATCTCAGGCGGGAGCCGTTGATGTTGTTGCAAATCGGGGGCCGACGACACAGTTTGACCCCTCAAGACTTTCCCTGTTAAAAAGCAAGTGTGTGAGCCCCGGGAAGGGCACTTCAATCGAAAAAAAACCATGTGCACCGGACGGGGGGATCACCAATAATAATGATTCTTCTGAAATGAGAGTTCAACAACAACAACAACAACAACAACAACAACAACAACAACAACCACAACAACAACAACAACAACAACAACCACAACAACAACAACAACAACAACAACAACAAGAGCAACAACAGCAACACCTACAACAATCAGTCTAAGACGGTTCGCTCTTGTCTGCTCGCGTGCCATTCAACACCTTATATCCCAAAGCCTCGATACCCGCCCTCTTCGTCTTCGATCGTACCCACTTGGTGCTATATCTTTCTTACCTGCAACGCGTATTTCATGCAGCCCCTGCGGCAGGGGAAGCGAAGGCGAATGGAAGAGAGGAACAAGAGGGAGGCAGGAGGTGGAGCACGAGAGCGAGAGAGAGTAGCAGGAGGGGGGATAGGACCAGAAAACACGTGGCAAAACCAGACGGGCAGATCGGGCGGGTACACCCGGGTCGGGGAGGCGGGCCGGCCGTGGGGGCCAGGTCGAGCAGGCGGGTTGCTGAAGCGTGCGTCCTGCATGAATCGCGAAGACGTCTCGAGCGAAAGCGCGATCCCCAAAAAATCGCGTGATTGGCCAAAGCGAAAGCTTGATTCCTGAGTGTCGAGGGCGCGGGTTCTGAATAAATTGCGAGAAGGTCCAACGCGAGAGCGCGATTTCTGCATAAGTTCGGAAGAAACCCCGCGCGAGAACGCGACTTTTCAATACTGTAGAAGACAATATCTGGCGGCAGCCGCTGCTGTTGTAAACCAGGGGGCCAAAACATAAGTCTGAGACCCAAAAACTTCCCCTGGTAAACAAAACCAGGTACGAGCCCTGGGAAGGGCACTTCAATTTAAAAAATACCATGTACCCCAGAGGGGGGATCAACACGATTCGTTCTTCAGCACTGAGAACTCAATCAGTGTACCCTCATGTACCATGCTTCTACATGCCACATGTACCCATCATGATGCCACCCCTTGATATCGGGAACCATATGAAACAGGGCCGATATTCCACACCCAGATCTCCCGCCCAAGGAGTTCGAACCAACACATCTCCCGAGGCACATTCCCATTTTCAGCTCGCATGACACATAAAACATCAGTGCGACTTTGGGAAGCGGTGAGGATTCGAAGCACGAAGGATTCGAGCCCCAGGAGATGAGGCAAGCTGTAGGAACATAGGTACAACAAAAAGGATTGGAGCCCAAGCAGGCGGCCAAGACATAGGGACATACATAAAGCACGAAAGGGTCGAGCCCCAGGAGAAAGGCAATATACGGGAAAAGACGTGAAACAAAAGGATTCGAGCTCCAGGAACGGGTCGGCAAAGCCTATGGGACGAAGCCTATAGAGACGAAGACTACGGAGGGCCAAAAAGCACTCTTGGGGTCTGTTGGGGCCTCTTGGGGCCGCTTGGGGCCTCCCGGGGCCTTCTGGGGGCGGGCGGACCGAAAAACGTGCCCCAAACAAAAAAAAAAAAAGTACGGACAAATGTTTCCTGGTGCCCCCTCGGAGCGGAGGGGCGGAGCCGAAAAGCGGTCCCCGAGCACCTGTCTCAATACAGAAAACACGTCCTAACCCTCCAGGGGCCTCCTGGGGGTCCGCCCATCCATGGGGCGACCCATGCGCTGGGTGGGTCCGCCGAAGTTGCGCCACGTTGTCATCCGGGTCTCCTCCTGGGCGCCTCGTGCGCTGGGCGGGTCCGCCGAGAGCACGCCGCCTTGCCGCCCCGTGCTGCCTCGTGGGCGCTCGTAAGCGCCCTGTGCGCTGGGTGGGTCCGCCGAAGCCGCGCCACGCTGCCGCCTGTGCAGCCTCGTGGGCGCTCGTGGGCGCCCCGTGCGCCGAGCTTACACGACGTAGCTTAGACAGCATACCAATCACTGCATCGGAGATTGGAGGGTGAGATCGCAATGCAACGGAGACCCACCGGGGAGAGCGGTGTCGGATTCGTGACCGTGTCGTGCGCGCGGAAGGGCGAAGCTGCGTGGACGGGCGAGAGGAATCCTCCTCTGGCCAGGGCACCGCTGGGCCAAAAAACGGCCACTTCCCCCCGGGTGGGCGGCAGTGGCCAGGGGTGTCCCGCGGGTGTCCCACCGGTGTTCCGTCGGTGCCCCGTCGGCGTCCCGTAGTGTAATCGATAGTGAGATCGATAGTGAGATCGATAGTGAGACCGATAGTGAGATCGATGGTAAGATCGATAGTGAGATCGATAGTCGGCTCGATAGTGAGATCGATAATGAGATCGATAGTTAGCTCGATCGTGAGATCGATAACACGGTCGATAGTAAGATCGATCGAATGAGATAGATAGTGAGGCCGATAGTGAAACCGATAGTGAGATCGATAGTTAGCGATAACACGGTCGATAGTAAGATCGATCGAATGAGATAGATAGTGAGGCCGATAGTGAAACCGATAGTGAGATCGATAGTTAGCTCGATCGTGAGATCGATAGTCATCTCGATGAAGAGATCGATAGTGGGATCGATAGTGAGATCGATGCTGAGCTCGATTGTGAGATCCATAGCGAGATCGATAGTGATATCGATTGTGAGCCGGAGAGTGAGAACGATAGTAAAACCGATAGTGAAATCGATGGTGAGCCCCATAGTGAGATCGATACTGAGCTCGATAATGAGATCGATAGTGGGATCGACGGTGGCATGGATAGTGAGACCGAGATCGATTGAGTGAAATTGATAGTGAGATCGATAGTTGTTTTCCTCACGATGGTCTGGCACGGGCACGCGACTGGCACCGAGCCCCGGTTGGTACCTGCGGCCGCAGCGTAAACTTGGAGCCCTAGCTGAGCTGCCAGCGAAACTCGCCTGCAGGACAGCTCGAGCCCAGGAACCGACGAAATCCCCGAAATGAAATCTATCAGCCCCTATCAGCCGCCGATCTATAAAATCAGTTGTTCATGACCCTGATGGCCTGGCCAAACGCCCGACGCAGCGGTGCGGGGGTCACCCGCGCCCGACCCCTGGAAAATCCGCCGACTCTGTGTCGGCGTGTGGAAAAGGCTTTTCGGTCTTTCTCTGTTCTCTCTGAGGCTGTCCTGCCTGCCTCCGGTTCGTCGTCGTCGTCGCTCACGCCTCTTTCCCAGGCCTGATCGCAAGGACGCCCCGATACGACGCCTCTCCTGGGAATCCCGCGGTTCCACAAAATTCAAGAAAGTCGTCGAGGGAAGCCCCTTCCCTTTCATCCCTTCCTCGCCGAAGGGGGGGGGGCCCGGGGAAATCCCAGGGAAGTCCCAGAGAGGTCCCGGGTCAGATACGACGCCTCTCCCGGGAATCCCACGGCTCCACAAAAATCCAAAAAGACGTCGAGGGAAACCCCTTCCCTTTCATCCCTTCCCCGCCTGAGGGGGGAGGGGGAACCCGGGGATGTCCAGGGGATGTCCCGGGGATGTCCCAGGGAATCCCAGGTCAGATACGACGCCTGTCCCGGGAATTCCGCGGCTCTACAAAATTCCAGAATATAGAGTGCTCCTCCTCCTCCTCCTCCTTCTCCTCCTCCTCCTCATCTCCTCCTCCTGCTCCTCCTCCTCCTCCTCCCCCTCCTGGTCGTCGTCGATGTCTTTCAGGGTCGGCGGGACCGGCCGTCAGGCCTTCACGATCAGTTGTTCATGACCCTGATGGCCTGGCCAAACGCCCGACGCAGCGGTGCGGGGGTCTCCCGCACCCGATCCCTGGACGGCGGCCGGGATCGTGGAACAGCTGCAGCTGCGCTGGAACGCCGAAGATGTTTAGCGCCGACATCGCTTCAAGCAACGCCAAGCGAAACAAGCGTTGTTCCCCAGAGCCCCTGTTCACGGTCACCCTGCTCCGGACTCGTGTGCCGGCGGCATCCTGGTCAGTGTCAGCAGCTCCGCCGAAGAGGCGAGCGTCACCTCATGCACGAGCATCCTGGCTCAGTCCACCCGTAGTTCTGGCCTACCGACGACATGGCATCCTGCACTCCCATGCCGTTGCTGACGAGAGTCTGCACCCTGTCGGCGCACGTCGGGCAAGAACCCGAGCTGTCCCCAGGCCCGCACGCTTCGTTGGTGGCGCAGGAGCCCGCGCACGCGTACGATTTCATGCCACCCACGCATACCTCACCGCCGCAGCACTGCGTGCCCGAATTGCCACAGAAGTCCTTCATGCACCGACAACTGTCGTACGAGCAAGCCACACTGTCCATGGCCTCAGACGCAAGAAATAGATTGTCGGTGAGCGTCTTGACTCTGTCGGCGCACGTGGGGCAAGAACCCACTGAGTCTCCCGGGCCGCACGCTTCGCCGGTGGCACAAGACCCTGCACAAGCGTATGAATGCATGCTGCCCACACACGTTTCGGAGGCGGAACACTGTGTGCCCGTATTGCCACAATAGCAGCTCTCTGGCGGAGAAGACAAGCATCCGCACCCTGGCTCGGTCCACCCGTAGTTCTGGCCTACCGACGACATGGCATCCTGCACTCCCATGCCGTTGTTGACGAGAGTCTGTACCCTGTCAGCGCACGTTGGACAAGAATTCGGAGGATCCCCAGGCCCGCACGCATCATTGCCTGCACACGAGCCCGCGCAAGCGTAGCTCTTCATGCCGCCTACACACACCTGGCAAGACTCGCACGTCTGCCCCGTGTTGCCGCAGGTCGTACCGCTTCTGTTCTCAGTGATCGAAGCCCGCTTGCGATGGCTGAGGGCCAACAAACTGTCCTGGTCGCATTGCTCATCGGCGCGGGCAGAACCCAGCACCAACGCCACTACAACCAGAACGCTAGGAATCGCGCACGCCATCTCCTAATGGAAATCCGCCGCCTTCGGCAACGCAAGATCGAAGTGACAGCAAGTCTGAAAACAATGAGAACTAATACTTGAGCCAAAATGGCGCTACGGAGCAGATAGTGAGATCGATAGTGAGCTCGACTGTGAGAGGAATAGTGAGATCGATAGTGAGAGCGATAGCGAGACCAGTAATGAAATCGATCAAATGAGATCGATAGTGGTATCGATAGTGATGTCTCGTCGGTGTCCCATCGGTGTTCCGTCGCTGTCTCGTTGGTGCCTCGTCGGTATCCCGTAGTGAAATCCATAGTGAGATCGATAGTGGGATCGACAACGAGATCGATAGTAAGATCGATAGTGAAATCGATAGTGGGATTGGTAGTGAGATGAACGATAAATCAGTTGAGTGAGATCGATAGTGAGATCGGTTTAGTGAGATCGACAGTAAAATCGACAGAGCGAGACGCTCATTCCACCACCACCCCAAACATCCTTATCACCCGAAGGGTGGTCGTATAGATAGCTTACACTGCCTATCTTACACCACATAGCTTACACCGAATACGGTTCACGTCCAGCTCAAACCAAACGTGTTACAGGGCACAACTCACACCACACAGATTACACCGCACAGTCTCCCCCTCCACAGCTCACATCGTACAGCTTGAACGAAGCAGCTTGCGCCACATAGCCTACGACGCATACGGTGGGGGCGCTGGACAGGAAACCTTCAAATAAGGAACACAGGTCTGGAAGCCGTGGAACTCCAAGCGTGGACCGGCCATGGATACCACCGCCGCCCACAGCAATTGAGGAATCCTCCAGGGTCTGCAGCCTCCTGGGCGCATTCCTCAACGAACGCCCCCGCCGCGGATTCCACCTCCACGGTGCAATAACCCACAGTCTGGGGTCCACGCTGGCAGGCATGCTCTTCTTCGGGGGGGGGAGGGGGGGGAGGGGGAGGAGGAGGAGGAGGAGGAGGAGGAGGAGGAGGAGGAGGAGGAGGAGGAGGAGGAGGAGGAGGAGGAGGAGGAGGCGGAGGCGGAGGAGGAGGAGGAGGAGGAGGAGGAGGAGGAGGGAGGAGGAGGGAGGAGGAGGGAGGAGGAGGAGGAGGAGGAGGAGGATGAGGAGGAGGAGGAGGAGGAGGAGGAGGAGGAGGGGAGGAGGAGGAGAGGAGGAGGAGGAGGAGGAGGAGGAGGAGAGGAGAAGGAGGAGGAGGAGGAGGAGGAGGAGGAGGAGGAGGAGGGGAGGAGGAGGAGGAGGAGGAGGAGGAGGAGGAGGAGGAGGAGGAGGAGGAGGAGGAGGAGGGAGGAGGAGGGGAGGAGGAGGAGGAGGAGGAGGAGGGGCTCCACGCTGGCAGGCGATGCCCTCCTTCGGGGGGGGGGGGGGAGGGGGGGGCGGCGGGCGCGGCCTCCGTGGCGCGGGCGTCCTGCACGGGGAGGGCGAAGTCCTGCCCGCGGGGGTCGAAGGGCGGGGACAGGACGCCCTCGGACACCTCGGGGCGGCTCGGCGGGGGCGCGCCCCGTCCCCCACGCCGCCCCCGACGGGGGGGGGCAGCAGAAGACGGGTGGACGAGAGGGGGGAGGAGGAGGAGGAGAGGGGGGGAGGGGGAGAGAGGGGGGGGGGGGAAGAACGGGAGGGGGGGGGGAGAAGCGGGGACAGGGGGAGGAGGGGAGGGGGGGGAAAGGGGGGACAAGGGGGGAAGAAGGGAGGTGGGAGACGGGGGGGGGATGGGGTGGGGGCATCTAGGTGGGTGCGCTCGCGCCACATCTGGCATCCTCTACCCCTCCGACCAGTCCTGTCCCACTGCGCCAGCGCAGATAGTTTCTCCATCCGCCGACGCGTGTCAGATTGAACCTGGAACTCCAAAGAGGGGAGAAGAGGGGGGGAGGGGTTGGGGGGGAAGGGGGAGGAGAGGGAAGAAGAGGGAGGGCGGGTGGGCGGAGGAACGGGGGGCAGCAGGTGAGAGGGGCGAGGGAAGCAGGAGCAGAAAGGGTATAGAGGGAAGAAGGGAGAGGGGGAATATGTTGGATCTGTTGCTAAAATCACGATACGAAGGAAGAACTATTTGGCGGGGCGCCCCATCAAGCCCTATTTCTGCACCCTGCCCGCAGCCTGCGGCAGGGCGCCTCGCCAAAACTGCGGACTATGCCGCCGATGGCGGCATGTCTGGAGGAGGCTCCAGAGCGGTGGGATCATGAGAGTTGCTGCCACCTCCTGCTCGCAGAGTGGCCTGCTCGGCCGTCGAGACGTGGGGGGGCAGGGAAGGAGGAGCAGCAGAGCAGAGCAGAGCAGAGCAGGGTAAACCCAGAATGCATCAGCGACGCTGCAACGCACATACCTGGCCTTACCCCCCTCTTCACAAGTCCCCCAAGTCTCCCCACCACGCGCTCACTTCTGGAAGCGACCCCGTTGAACAACGAGCGCCCCATTTGGCCCGTCGTTCAAGCGAGCGCCCAACTTCGAAAAGGAACACCCTCCCGCCTTCTAGCCACCAGGAATGCCAGGGGGAATGATCGTATGCTTCGGGAGCGGCCGATGCAGGCCCCGCTCTTGGAGAGCAGCCGCCCTCCGTCCGTCGTTGGGCCACTGTCAGCACCGACCTGCTGCGTTCCCGCACACCGCGGGCCACGCAACCCACTGGAAGGCAGCAGGGCGGGGCGTCTGCCACGTCGGCGCCGCACCGACAGAGGAGCCAGAGGGTAGCCCACAGAGCCGAGCCGCACGCCGCTGCTTCGGACCACCACCCAAAATCAAGCATCTGCTTCGCTGCACCCGCAGCCGAGCCACATGTCACTGGCAACTTCGGCGAGGTTGGAAGACCCTTTGCGGTTCGTGAGCTGGCTCGGGCACTGGATGTCACCAGCTGCCCGCCATCCCGCACCATCGGCGCTGCCCTCGTGTTCTTCTCCGCCGCTGCCTGGACCCACCGTTGCAGGGCCCCTGGGCCGCTGACACGAGCTCTGGCGCGGGCGCCGAACAGAGACGTTCGACAAGCGCCTCCATCTAGATCGGGCCGCCGGAACCATCAGGGCCCCGAGGACCCTGTTCCCTGCCTGCCTGCCATCTGCCCTCTGCCCTTTCCCGCCCGCCTGCTCCGTCCCGCCAGCCTTGGCCTCACGCCTGCGCGTTCGTCGTCGTCTGCTTGCTTCTCCCTGTCCGCCGCCGCGCAGAAAAGACTGGCGGGTGTCGGCGGCGCCAGGCCGACGCATCGAACGAGAGGCATGCGCCTTGCGATTCTGCTCTCCTGGAGCCCATCGGACTAGCGCGACCTCGAGCGGCAAGCAACGAGTTGGCAAAAATGGCGCACACGTCAGTACCGAAAGTTCCCCCTGCATCGCCTACGTTGGACCCCCCCGCCTGTACCTCTTTCTCTCCACGGCACTCGGGGGAACCCACAAGAGCCCCAGTAGACCTGTGGCAGGCTCGCCCATGACACAACTTCACCCATTGAAAGGAGGGGGGGAGAAGGAAAGGCAGAAGGGACAGAAGAAACAAAGGAAGAGGGGGAGAAAGGGCGAAGGGAGGGGTGAGGTACGAAGGAGGAGGGGGGAAAGGGAGGAGGGAGGGGGAATGGGTGCAGGAGGAGAGGGAAGGATAGGGGTGCAGGAGTGAAGGAACCGCCACGGGCGTTGATAGAGTGACTCCGCCGACTTGCAGAAGTACCCCCAGAAGGGGTTCCAAGCACACCGAATTGCAAGCACAGTTCAAATAATGCTCGTCCCTCCTGCAATCAATCGAAAGGAAGGCTTTGAGAGCTAATCCCACCAGCCCTTAGGGCGCAGGTGGTCTAGGGTGTTTGGTCTTCCATCTGACCCTCTTCCCCTTCGGGTAGGGGTTTATCATTGTTCCCTATTAATAAACACCCCCTCCCCCAGGCGACGGGGGGCCAACCCGAGTCCATGACAACACCCCCCCACCATCCTTTTATATATCCTCCAAATTCGGAACATGCGCAGCCAACCAGATGCGGCCCCCCCCCAGCATCCCTGTCAAAAAACCATACAGAGTACACTTGGCCGCGGCGGCGGCTGCGGCGGCTGCGGCGGCGGCGGCGGCGGCTGCGGCGGCGGCGGGGGCGGCGGCGGCGGCGGCGGCGGGCCGGCGGTGGCGACAGCGGCTGCGGCTGCGGCGGCGGTTTGGCAGCGGGGGGCGGCGGCGGCGGCGGCGGGGCGGCAGCGGCGGCGGCGGCGGCGGCAGGCGGCGGCGGCGGCGCGGCGGCGGCGGCGGCGGCGGCGGCGGCGGCGGCGGGCGGCGGCGGCGGCGGCGGCGGCGGCGGCGGCGGCGGCGGCGGCGGCGGATTGGCCCCCAGTAGCTGCCCATCCAAAGACGACTGCTGAATATGCTGAGGCTCGGGCCAGGCTCGGGTGCTACGTATGTGTTGGGAGGGCGGGTGGGAGTGAGCGAGACGGCTTGCGGACGGGGAGGGAGTCTTGACCCCTCCCCCATACCCCCTCCCCTGGACCTGGACGAGGGGTCTCCCGAAGGGTTGGAGCGACCAAGATGGCCCAAGATGGCTCCAAGAGCGCCTCGGAGAGCCCAAGATGAGTTCCAAGATGGCTCAAGATATCCCAAGATGTCTCAAGATGGCTCCCAAGATGCTCCAAGAGGCCCCAAGACCGCTCCAAGACGGCTGCAAGTTGCCAAAGAGCTCCCCAAGGAGGCCCAGAAGGCGACAATCCTTCCAAAACCTAAGGAAAATCATTGCTGTCTCGCCTTTTGCTTCCGATGGCCTTCCGAGGCCCCAAGATGGCCCCACAAGGGGCCCAAGATGGCCCTAAGAGGGGCCCAAGAGAGCCCCAAGACGGCCCCAAGAGCGCCCAAGAGCGCTCCAAGAGCGACCCCAGAAGGGCCCAAGAGGCGGTTTTAGGCACTCTAGAACGGCGACGTTAATTGAAGCTCCCATCTGTTTGTATCGATCTCCTCCAAGATGGCCCGAAGAGCGCTCCCAAGGCACCCAAGAGCGCCCCAAGAGGGCCCCAAGAGGCGCCCCGACGGCCCCAAGAGGCGTCCAAGATGCCTCCATGAGGCTCCAAAGAGGCCCCCAAGAAGCTTCAAGAGGATCCCCGAGGCACCCAAGATGCCCCCCATGAGTTCCAAGAGGCCTCCAAAGTCGTCACACGGATCCTCTGCGTGCCCACGGACGTCGGCACGCCGAGCGTGTTGCGCTGCTGTGGGTCCAGATCGTGATCGCCAGGCCCAGCTGTGCTCGCCGATAGCATACAGGTCGAGCAATGGCGTGGTGGATTTCGAAGGTCTCAGTGACTGCCGGCCCCTCGATCGACGCGCGCGCGCACGGGCTGCCTCGATCGACTTCAGCAGGACATAATAGTCGGGGTCACCAGGCAGCTTCGGCCACGTGTCCGGGATCGCGCCTGATTCCGAGGAGTGACAGAGGTAGCGGCGCCGCAGGAAGAGAAGCGAGAACGACAAGACGGGACAAAGCGGGACAGGCAAGACGATCTACGGAGAGAGGAAAGAAGGAGAGAGGAGACAACAACGACGGGAACAAGCAGAAGAGATAAGCGGAAGGGGAGATGATGAAGAGCAGGAGGAGGGATGAGGTCCAAGAAGAAGGAACACATCCTCCCCATCCTCCTGCGAACTCCTGCTCTGCTCCTCATCCTGCTCCTCCTGATGATCCTGCTCCTCCTCCTCCTCCTCCTCCTCCTCCGCCTCCTCCTCCTCCTGCTGCGCCTCCTCCTCCTCCTCCTGCAAATTGTTGTTTCTCCTGGAAACTGATTATCCTGTTCCTGCCTCTCCTCCTGTTGATCCTGCTCCTCTTGCTAATACGTATATCCTCCTCTTCCTCCTCCTCCTCCTCCTCCTCCTCCCCCTCCTCCTCCCCCTCCTCCTCCTCCTCCTCCTCCTCCTCCTCCACCTCCTCCTCCTCTCCTTTTCCTGATGAATAATTCCTCCCTGTCGCACCCCGAGGTTGGTCGGAAGGGCGGGCCGGGCGTTTCGCCTGAGATTCCATTTATGAGCCTGAAGTTCATAAACTGGCAACAGTTTCGTAGATGGAGGACGGGTGCTTTTCAAAATGTGGCTCCCGCCTCAGCGCAGCGCAGATTCGTTTTCAAAATTTGCAAGAGCTTCTCGGATTGAAGGCGGGTCGTTTTCAAAATGTGGCTCTCGCCTTCGTGACGCGCACACTTGTCTTAAAAGTTTGCAAGATTTTCGCGTATTGGGGACGGGTGGTTTTCAACATATGGCTCGCGCCTGACCGCCGCGCACACTCGCCCTAAAAACTTACAAAAGCTCCACGGAATGAGGACAGGCCGTTTTCAAAATGTGGATCTCGCCTGAGCGCCGCGCACATTCGTCTTGGAGAGTTGCAAAAGATTCACGGATTGAGGGCAGTTCCTTTTCAAAATGTGGACGACAAAAACGCGACTTCACCACTCCGTCTGCCTTCCATCGGTTGCAGCACAAGTTGCGCCAGTGGTTGGGCCAGACACCATCAAGCACCATCAAATCGCGAGCTACCCTCTGGGCTGCCTCTGCAACATACATGGGTCGCGTCCGCACCGAATCCCGACTACGATTCGACCCCAGGGGCCCACTTCAAAGGTCACTCGGACGAAGGGCCACTCTTGCTCGTAATCAGCCGGTAGATGGGACGCGCCAGAGGCTTCGCTGGACACCCCGCGCACCACCAAATCGTCGGTGTCCCCAGCCCTTCAAATATTCAAGAGAGCCCTGAATTGCCCCCTTCGCTGCTGAGAGGAAAATCTCAGGCCACGGGCGCCGTCAGCAAGATGCCAGGGATGAAGAATCAGCCCAGAAGAGACGGGCCAAAAGGCCCCTTGACAAAAAACGCGATAAGCATTAAACTGCCGGAGGTCCGCGCGGATTCCAGGCCACGGGCGCCGTCAGAAAGCTCCCCGGGATGAAGAATCAAACCAGCCGGGAGGGGCGGGCCGAGAGGACCCTAGAAAAACAAAAAACACCATAAACATCAAACTGTCGGAGGTGGATTTCTTGGATCGGGGCGCTGGACCCCCCTGCCTGGCGCGCGGAGCGCGCCAAGGGGCGGCGCCGAAGGCAACGCCAGGGGGTTGCAGCGCAGATCCAGGGAATCCGAGGGGAGATCTAAATGTCGAGTCGCATGCCGTTTTTTCTCCTTCAACTGCTGCAACAGCCGATGCAAGGATCTGTTTCCGCCCCCACTCGGGCACCGGTGGAGATGGACATCATCCCATCTCTGCGGGCGGGCAGATATTCATGTCCACCACTCCTCGACATCCTGGGGCACGACTCCGAAGCGGTGGATGTGGACAAACCCCGGCGGTGGAGGATTGTCGTACCTGCAGCCGTGCTGTCACATTATTCACCTGCTAACTGGGGGCAGACTTCTGGGGGTCAGAATCAAGGGCAAACTAGACACAAAAAAAAACTTATAATAAGAATGGCCCGGGCAAAGAAGTTCCAAAGGCATTACCGAGGAGAAGTTTCCAGGAAGACATGTACTTTGAAGCACATGCGGCCCCGAACAGGGAAAAGCCAAGGAATCGAGCTTACAGGTTCCTGACCCCCAAAAGGCTAGCCCCCATGAGCAGGCGAAAGAGCCACAGCCGATGCGGGGACCTGCAGCCAAACAGCCTGAAACATATATCCCCACCCATGTGACTGTCATCGCTTTCTCCCTATGCCGATCTTAAGGATTCCTGCAGCTTCTGAGGGTGCATCCCTGAGATCGTTGTCGTCTCTGGGCTTGTCGATCTTAGGGATAGGGATAGAGAGAGTAAAGCCTCCCAGATAGGGCCCGAGTAGGTGGGGTCGGAGGATTGCACCGCATCGCGGATGCATCGGCGATGCATCGGCGACGTGGGCGTAATATCCAATCGGGCTCCACATCGAGCTGCATCGCCGATACATCGCCGATGCATCGGCGATGCATCGGCGGTGCGGCGAGATCTTCCGACCCCACGTACTCCGATCCCACCTGGGAGGCCCAGAGATGAGCCCGATGCCTGGCCATCGCTCGGACGTTCCTTCCCTGCTTTTGTTTCGGTTTCGTGCGTGGCGTTTTCGCCACATGATCAAGGATGCTCGTCGATGGTCCTCGCCGAAGGAAAAATGCACACGTCGGAGCGATGCCAAGAGGCTGGCTCGCGGCCACCTACTTCGGACCCCCCCCCCCTCGGGAGAAGGGCGCCTGCCGCGCCGCCCAGCAGCGCCAGGACGGCGGCCGAAGCCGCCGCGCAGAGCCGGGCCATCCGCGGCCCACGGCGCCCGCGCGGCGGCGCGCGCGGCCCGAGGCACCCCAGGCGGCTGGCAGCTTCGGGGGGAGCTGCTCGACGCCTCGTCCGCGTCTCCAGCTCTCGTCTTTGTCAGCGATTCCGTGCCTGCCGGAACTAGAGAGCAACATCATCTACCCCCATGATGAGCACCCCGACAAGCGAAGCCGTGTTGCAAACGCACCCAAGGAAGGAATCGAACAGGGCAGGGCTGGTTAGTAAACGCCCAGGGCCGTTTAGTAAACGCCAATTGTCGGGGTCGGATTGGTTTTCCCTCCCTTGATGAACGAGGGGTCAACAGGTAAGCCCACGATGGAGGTCGCGCACTGTGAGCGACCTCCCTGGAACAAACGTGTTTTAAACGGTGCTAGCCGTCTATAATTCTTTTTGGGGGCTGTCGGATGACTCTGAGGCAGCGCTGGGCCTCGGAGAGGGGCCAGGGATGCATGCAGCACTGTGTGGCTAGAGGGCGGAATCGCCCCCAGACATCTGGCAGCTTCCCAGTGATCCTCAGAATGTGTCAGCGCCAAGCGGCGCAGCCAGTGCACTAAAGACCGACACAGGCTGCGCGCTACCATTCGGATCTGAACGAGGAAAGCACACATTGGGCTAGCACACGTCCTGAAGACCCTCGAGCTTTGGGGGGAGCTTCTGGGCTTCTGGCTCCCAAGCCGTGTGGCGACGGACCGCGCGGCGACCTCGGAACCCCCCGAGGCCTCACCGCGCAGCCTGTCACCGCACGGCACTGGGACCTCGGAGGCCCCGGCCCGAGACAACAACAACCAAAACAGAAACAGCAACAGCAACAACAAGAACATATAACGACCACAGCCAATAGCCAATAGCCATAACAACAACAACAACAACAACAACAACAACAACAACAGCAGCAGCAGCAGCAGCAACAACAACAACAACAACAATAGCAACAACAACAACAACAACAACAACAACAACAACAACAACAACAACAACAACGACAACAACAACAACAATAACAACAACAACAACAACAACAACCACAACAACCACAACAATCAGTTTACCCTCATGCGCGATGTTTCCACACGATGCATGCGACCATCATGATAACCATCCACATCATGGGGGATTATTGTTCTATAGCGGGGTCCGTTATTTAACTTCCCAGATCTCCCGCCAAATGAGGTCTTGCAAACACCTCCTCCGATGAATTTCAACATATCCCGCCTCGAAAACACATGCCCGCGCCTTGCTGCGCCGATGCGAGACCGCCAGTGGAACCCCAGCGAAGGGTAAAGCACAAGGAAGTATCGAACGACAGGATTGCCGTGGCGGGGATGGGGGCTGTCGGCGGTGAGGCAAGGACCTGGCCCTGAACTGAAAGGGAGGAAGTCTCGAGCAGGGCTGCTGTTGTTGCTGGGAGCGGCGCCAATGCTGAAGAGAGTAGGGCGCCAGTCCAGCATCAAACAAAACGGGGTCTCGAGCGGGAACGCTGGTTTTGTTGGGACGGCGGCTTTCGGCGGCGAGGAGGAACACCGCCTTGAGTAAGAAAGGAGAAAGCATCGAGCGGGAGCCGTGGTTTTGTCGGGACGGGGGTTGTCGGCGGCGAGGAACAGCACCGTCTTCAGGAAAAAGGGGGGAAGCGTCGAGCGGGAGCGTTGTTCTTGCTGGGAGCGGCGGCAATTCAAAACAGAATTGGGCGCCAGTCCAGCGTAAAACGGAAGGAAATCTCGGGCGGGAGCGCTGGTTTTGTCGGGGCGGCGGTTTTCGGCGGCGAGGAGGAGCGCCGCCTTGAGTAAAAAAGGGAGGAAGCGTCGAGCGGGAGCGTTGTTCTTGCTGGGGGGCGGCGCCGATGAGAGAAAAACTAGCGCGCCAGTCCAAGGTAAAACGGGAGGAAGTCTCGAGCGGGGGAGCGCTGGTTTTGTTAGGACGGGGGCTTTCGGCGGCGAGCAAGAACACCAGCCCTGAGTAAAAAAGGAGGAAGTCTCGAGCGGGAGCGTTGTTGTTGTTGTTGTTAGGGGGCCTGTTTTGGCGGTTCCCCAAACCGCTCGAGCGTAAGCCTCATTTTCAATGAAAATGTAGCCGGCGCCTCGGCGAGAGCACCAGGGCGCCTAGAAAGGGTACAACAATAATAATTGTTAAGTGATTAACAGTCAACAACGACGACGACGACGACGACGACGACGACGACGACGACGACGACGACAACAACAACAACAACAGAACGTCTGATCTGGTGTACGCTTGGCCATCCCCGGAGAAGGATACCATTATCTAGGAGGGCGCTAACCATACATCTACGCTAATCCTGGCCAGGCTCATCCTGAACACAGGACCAGTGTATAGGCAATGCATGCTCGGATTGGAAGACATACACACACAGACCCGAGGCCCAGGATGAGCCTAGCCAGGATCGGTGTAGGTGTATAAGGGGCGCCTGCGACAATCCTCTAGATTTGGGTACCCCAAGGATCACAGCGCAAAATGATTCGACGTTACCTTTTCTGCCACGTTCAGTTGGGGACTTGGGAGCCCCAAAATTCGGCTTACACCCTCACCTGTCTGAAAGATGGCTGCACCATAATGATCAACCGCCGCCAGACCCCATCCAACCAACCATGTAGTCTATACCGCGTCGCCGGTGCTCGCACTCAACAAATGTGCTCATCCCTCCTCGCCCCCCCGGGCAGAATTCGGCGGCGCGCCCGGGGGGGGAAGTGAGAGGGGGCGGGCCTCCTCAGAAGGTTCGGAAGTCCCCCGGCATTCTCAGGAGTTTTCTGAGAGCCTTCCCCGAAGACGCCGAAAGCTTCCGCCGCCTTCTGAGAGGGCCTTCTCCTTCTCATTCCCCCCCTTCGCTCGCCGCCCAGCAGTCCGCTCAGGCTCCGTCTCCCCAGCCCATGGCACCCCTCCCGGAGGCCATCCTGCCGCCAGCCTGCCGAGCTGCGCCCGGCCGTGGCGACGAGAAGCCCCAGGAGGGCACCCAGAGGCCTCGGAGGACGAGGGCGTCGGCACCGTCGTCGGCGTCGCCCCCAGGCCCCCGACGTCGCGAGGTCTTGCATCCGCGTCGACCCCCGGAGGTCGCGCCCCCGCTCCCCGGGGGCAGGCTCTGCCGCCCGAGAGCCGTTCCCCGACGGCCCCCGGGCCCGGCGAGGGCCCCCCGAGGCCGAACAGCACGGGAGAACCTCCCGTCGTGATCGGCTCACGACGCGGGGGGGTCTGGCTCCGTCCTCCCCTGGGAGGGGGGGGGTTTGGGGGGCCGCGTGCGACCCCACCCCCTCCCCCTCAGAAGTCGTGGGGGGCAGGGGGAGGAGGAGGAGGAGGAGGAGGAGGAGGAGGAGGAGGAGGAGGAGGAGGAGGAGGAGGAGGAGGAGGGAGGAGGAGGAGGAGGAGGAGGAGGAGGAGGAGGAGGAGGAGGAGGAGGAGGAGGAGGAGGAGGAGGAGGGGTGGGGGCAGGCTTCGCGTGCGGTCCCCCAGGGGTGGCCACCGCCTGCTCCTTCTGCGTGGCAAGCCGCCCCTGTATGCACGGGAGCCGCGCGTCTCGCGGCCGGGTCTGTCGCTCGGGGGGGGGCGCTGCGGCGCGCGCGGCAGCCCGAGCTGGAGGAGCCCACAGGAAAAACGCCGTAGGCATGAACTTTCGAAAGGCTGCGTGGACTCCACGAGCGGCGAGCAGATCCGTACATAGCCGCACCCTCGCGGTCTGGATTCCGGAGCGCGGTCCTGGGATTACGCGGTCGCACGGATGCCTTGCGTGGGAGGGCATCAGCGAAAGAACGCCCCGCATCTGCGGGGTCGCGGCCCAGGGGCCTGGCCCGCGAGGCCGCGGACACGGATATGTTCGTCGCCCACAAGGATTTCTTGGATCGGCGCTGGACCCCACTCCCTGGCGCCAGCGCCGCCCGGGGGGCCCAGCGCCGATCCAAGAAATCCACGCGGAGCTCCGACACTTTATGACCATGGCGTTTCTCATCAGGCGCGAAAGAAGGACGTATACGTGCATGAATCCACGCTGGCTTCGGAAGCACGCATTGCGCGAACGCTCGTGTCACGAGGCTGGCCTCGCGGACTGGGGGGCCGTGTTCACGTACGTGGTTGGGCGCGTACGCCCTTTGTGGGCACTCTGCGAGCGGAGCCTAAAGGCGGAAGGGCCAGCCCCCCGGGGTGGGGCCGACCAGAGCAGCGCCCCCCGCGTCCTCGCCTCGCTCTCGGCTTCCAGACGAGGACAGGCCCGTGGGCGATCGACATGTCTTCCATGCCCCCGCTCTCGCCCCGACCACACGAGGGGCCAGAGCGGCGGCATGCACAAAAAGCTGGCCTCTGGAGCCGCCGTTTGAACCCCTGCTTCCCCTGGCGCACAAGGGGGGGGCGGAGGGGGCCAGAGCAGGGGCATGGATCGAACGACGATCGTCGAGTCCGGGAGATCCCCCATGAAGCAGCGATGTGGTGCGCCTCGAGCGTCGCGAGCAGCTCCCGCTAGCCCCTCAAGACGGGAAGAGAACGAAGCCCGGTCGAAGCAAAAGCCATCCGCCAAGGTTGCCCCGAAAATACAACGCTCTGCCAGGCCCCTGGCCAGCCCCGTGCCTTGGTCCCGATGCAACGTCTTGCCCACGAGCGTCCTCAGCGTCCTCCTCCTCCTCCTCCTCCTCCTCCTCCTCCTCCTCCTCCTCCTCCTCCTCCTCCTCCTCCTCTCCTCCTCCTTTTCCTCCTCCTCCTCCTCCTCCTCCTTCCCCCTCCTCCTCCTCCTCCTCCTCCTCCCTCCTCCTCCTCCTCCTCCTCCTCCTCCTCCTCCTCCTTCTCCTTCTCCTCCTCCCTCTCCCTACCTATGGTGGTGGTGGAAAATCGAAGACTTTGGGCATATTTGGAGGCCGGCCACATGGGTCAAGACAGCTGGGGCCGGAAGATCACACCGCATCGGTGATGCACCGGCCACATAAGGACGAAGAACTTCGGGCCCCGGGTCGCGCCGCATGTCCAATGCATCGGCGATGCGACGCCATCTTCTGGCCCCACCGACTCTGGCCCCATGTCTGCACCTTGCACACACCGAGACCGTCGGTGGAGCTCCGTATGGGGCCGCATCCTCGTGAGGGGCGCTCCGAAATAGGGGCGGTGGCGCCATGCGTCAGCGCCCACTGAGACCATAGACGCACGGCACTGCTATTCAAAACAAAGACCCAACGCAAAACAGGAGCGCTGGGAGTAACTACGGAAAGCAGAGAGACATGAAAGGATTCATAAAGCAAATCCCCTAGACTCCCCAGGATTCCTAAAATTTTTCACTGTGCCGCAAGGCCTCTAGGAATTCTCGCGATTCCGCAGGATTCCTCAGAAGTGGTTTGGAGGGGACTCTCGAAGTGATGGGTCAAGTGTGGGAAGGGGAGGGAAGGGGGTCCTGAATTGTTTTTCGCTGTACGTTTGGCTCCCTCCTCCTCCTCCTCCTCCTCCTCCTCCTCCTCCTCCTCCTCCTCCTCCTCCTCCTCCCCATGGATCAAGGTTAAGATGGCCTCTCAGTTTGTCGCAGGGCCCTCGCACCAAGGAGCAGGAGGAGGAGGCAGGGAGGATTGAAGAGACGGACGGGGAAGGACGACGAGGAAGGAAGATGATGAGGCCTGATTCGGCCCCACGGGGCCCACCGAGAAGACCCCGAGTCCTCCTGACAAAGGGGCGCGGCACGGATCCCGCTGTATATATATATATATATGTATATGGATTGGCCGGGACACGCGAAGCCTTAAAAGACTACGAGAAGAGTGGCGAGAGGCGGTGCTCGAGTCATACTTTCGAGGCGGGATACTCGAATGGTTCTTGTGCCCGGACAGAGCACCTGGGCGACACAACCCGAAGGGAGGTGCCCAAGGTGCCTGCATGAATTCACATGCAGTCGGACCTCGCAACATGAACGGCGGCACAGACCCGCCCCAGGCGTCACATCTGCGCCGCCGTTGCGAGGGGATACTCGACTGTGTCCAGTCCAGTCCGGTCACGCCCCGTGGGTTAGATCGCGAGCGTGACACCCCAGACGGGCGTCCTTGCCGCGGGAGCCCGAAAGCCCCCCGCGTCCCAACTCTGGGTGCCCTTGAAAAACTCCCACCTGTCCCCACACCCCTCGGGAAGCCAAGCTGTTGCAGATCCCTCCCAGCCAGATTCTGGCCCCAACGGTCAAAGAGCTCTCGACAAGGCGCGACTGCTGGAGCAAGTTCCCCGCTCGACAATACCAAAGAACCGCAAACGAAGACCTGAGGGAAACCTGTAACAAGAGGAGGGCTGCAAAGAAGCCAGAGCACAGATCTGCTCTGGCGTGGGATGGATCAGGCCACCTTGCGCTCGCGGGAGACCACCATGCTGGTCAAGGAGCCGTCCTCCAGGAGGCCCATGTTTCATCCGTAACTCCACTCCCCATCTCCCCCACCCGCAAGTCCTTCCTCCTTCCACGTGCCCACGAGGCAAGGACGGATGGCGCAAGGATGGGAGTCAGAGCTTGACTTGCAAAAGAAGTACGCGATTTGCTTCTGCAACAAACAACGGTGGCTGCAACAGCGAATCAGAAGGAAGGTTATACGGACGGGGATAATTGAATGCTGATCTGATTATGCGCGAATCGATGACGCACGACGCGCGGTGCGCATGAAGTCCCTGACAGACACAACCCCAAGCCATGAAGCTGCTCAATTTAGACGAAGACCAAGCCATCAACACTCTGCCATACATTGTGGGCAACGCTTCCGAGCTGTGCTGCCAACGCAGGCAGACATGTCCTCCTCACCTGACGCCTGCTGAGCCGCATCAGCGATGAGTTGCACTTACTAGCTAAGCCAATGCGAGCATATACCAGGCAACAAAAAACAATGACTTGCATACTAAAGGCAAGTGTACTAAAATCGCGATGCACGAATGACGTGATGGGACAAACTTGCCGTTCAACCATTGCGCGCTCCCGCTTGCAACCTGATGCCATATGAAAAACCTCCCTCGCGACTTTTTCACGACGCGAGGGGGTCCTCCGCGCCGCTCGAGATTGCTTTTATTCTTTCTGGCGACGGTGGTTGCGCAGAAGAGAGGGGGCGGGTAATGGTAACACTTGGGCGGGGTGGGGCACGTCGGGGCGGGGGTGCGAAGCGATCGCCATAGTACGAGCGCGAGCACCAGCACAGGGGGGAGCGTCCAATCCCCCCCCCACCACTGCGTACAATCGCTACCGCCACCCGGGGGGGTGGGCCGGGTCACGACCGCTATGCGCCGAAGGATAGTCGGGCACACGCCAACGTGGATCAGGGATCCATGGATCTGGCGCGTGGGCGCCACGTCCGCGGATCGGGGAAAGTAGCCCTTGGAACATGAAGCACGTGCCGCCTCATTTGGCGACGAAGCGTGCCGATTCCGCACGGAAGCGGGACCCACCACTCATCCACGCACATGGACCCATGTTGGCACTGCCTGGAAATGCGGGCGGCGCCGGCTGGCCGCACCGAGCTGCCTCGCGTCTCTCATCCGTTGCGCCTGCCTTCCCTTGTCGCCACCTCCACTCCTCGGCTGGCCCCCGCCGTTCCCCCGCTGCCCTTTCCCTCCCCTCCCCCCGCCGCCCCTTCCCCTTTCTTAGCGCGACGAGATCTATACATATCCACCGCTCCCTGGCCAGGACCATCCTGAACCCACCAGCGGTGCACACGCCGCGCCCTCCTGGCTTGGGAACATCGGCGGCGCTGGGTATACCACAACTGAGTCGGGTTGCGGGCCCGGGCTGCCGCCGCCGCTGCCGGCGACCTGCGATTGACCGTGGAAAACGGCCGTGGAAAGGCCTCGGCGCTATGAGTCGTGGATCACTGCCGAAACTGCCGATCCCATCGCTCAATGATCCTCAGAGCGCGTGCTGGCGCCAGCGTGCGCTCGTCCACCGAGGCCCTTCAACGCGACGCAGGCGGCGGCACGCGGGGGCAGCACGGGCCACGCGCTGTCGGCGGAGCCGAATGGAGCAAACACACGCTTGGGCTGGCACACGTCCTGAGGGTGCTGGATAGAGGCCTCGTGGATGGGGTCCGAGTAGATGGGGTCGGAGGATCTCGCCGCATCGCCGATACATCGGCGATGGTCCCCGATGTATCGGCGATGCATCGGCGATGCACTGGCGAGTCGACGATACATCGGCGACGCCGGCGTGGAGAAAGTTGGGCCCCACATCGAGCCGCATCGGCGATGCATCGCCGATGCATCGGCGATGCGGCACGATCCTCCGACCCCATCTACTCCGACCCAATCTAGGAAGCCTAGACTGGAACAGTCGTGCGGGACCTCTCGGGCCGGGTCGATCCGGCAGGGCCGCCAGAGGGGCCCGCGGAGCGTAACCCTGAACAGCGCCCGCACGTGGTGAGATTGCGCGAAGCCTGGACGTCGGGCACCTGCTAGGGCGCGTGGATCGGCGGTGGACAGACCTCCCTTTAGCAAAGATCCATTTAGTGAAAGCGGCCTGGGACCGAAACCGACGGGCCTGGACCCGCAAAAACAGCGGCCGTGACGCCCCCTCGCGAACCGAAAACGGCCAATTCACTAATCGACGTGTCAGTGTAGGAGGTCTATCCACCACCGAAAGGGTACATCCGCGGCACCAGGCTGCCACCGCTGAATCCGGTTGCGGCGCCCGGGCTGCCGCCGAGGGTGCTGGGGCTCTGGCACCTCGCTCGAAGGCGGTCGCTTGCGGCTGCGGGGAGGTCCACAGCGCAGTTGTTCGGCAGCGTAGATGCACAAGGAGGAGGAGGGGGAGGAGGGGGAGGAAGGCTAGGCAGACGAAAAGTTCAGATTGGTGTGAGACTGGGCGGCAACCTAAGAGGCTGTGGGGGGGGGGGCTGCGAAGAGCAGGGAGCGTGAGGAGAGCCGTGCTCCCGTTTCTGGACGTGGTTTTTGGGGGGGGGCGTTGACCAGCGGGGCACCTGGCTCGGGCTGCAGCCGCTCGTGCCCCCGCCGCTGCCTGTGCCGCGTGCCCTGCCCCCTCCCCCCGAGCCCGCCCGGCCACGTCACCCCGCCGGCAGGAAAGCGTGCGAAGTCAACGTCGACGTGTGCGCTGCGGGTCTCCGGCCGTGCTCTGCCTCCCCAAATTAGAGCTTCGCGCAGCCCGCCCGCGCTTTTCACCGGAAGGGGCTCGCCCTCGACCCGCAGACCCCCCAAAAAGAGTGTGCGCTGCGAGTCTCCCCATGGGATTGTGGCGAGCTCCTACTGGCTGATGTTCGGCAGATCTGGCGGCAGCAGCCCGCAGAAGGCGTACACGAACATGACGGTGAGCGCAAAGTGGCACGCCTGGACGATGGCGCCGAAGCGCAGGAAGTCGCCGAAAGAGTACTCGCCATCGGGCATCACCATGAGATTTGTCTGATACCCGAGGGGCGTCGTGAAACAAGAGCCCGCCGCAAACACGAGCGTCCAGGTCAGGCCCTTGACGCTGAAACTGGGGTTCCTCTCCACCACCTCCAGGACCAGTGGCCCGAGCATGCCGATCGTGGCGCTGTTGTTGATGAACATGCTCATAAAGACGGCGACCAAGTAAACCATGGCCAGCACAGCCAGGTAGCTCGAGCCAGCGACCTCCAAGAGGACGGCGGACATGAAAGTCACGATGCCGTTTCTCGTCAGTGCCTGCCCCATGGCCAGGGCGCCAGCGATGGTAAAAATGATATCCACTTTCATGGCCCCGAGAAGCTCGCGGAGACTGAGCTGCCGGATCACCAGCAGTATCACTAAGTACACCACCGCGGCGACGTCGAATGCGACCAACTTGAAAGTATACAATGCAATAATCAATAGGAACCCAGCGCAGGTGGCCCCGCCACGGACCTTGTCTGTGAAGAGCCCCGTCCGCAGTGGGGACGAGTTGGGCACCTTCTGAATCAGTGAGAAAGCCTGGCACCAGCGATGTTCAGCAAAGTCCTCCACCCAACGGTGGTCTGCCTCGAGGAGCAGAACGGACGACGGGCCGACTCTGGGGTCTGTCAGGCCTGCCCGCGCCTTGGGCCCCGCAACCAGGCAGGCCCCGAACTCCGTCCGCAGCCTGTGGGGGTCCTCGAGGAGGCCTCCTGTGAGCAACTCTGAGTCGGAGTCCACGCAGACCTCGTACAAGAATCGCTGCCTGCGCCTGGCGCCCAAGAGGTCGAGGTAATCCGCGCTCTTAAGCCTGACTCCAGCAAGGGCGCGGACGTTGATGACGCCCTTCACCTCGCAGTGCAACACCAACTCGTCGCCCTCCAGCAACATGGTCGACGCGTCTCCCCCATCCTGGCGCGCCACGCTGCGCACGCCCGGAACACGGGCCAAGCCAGAGTCCTGGACGGAGCACCCAGCCATGCCCCCGTGCTGCAGCACCGTCACTGGCAGGCGGTACACCTCGGGCTCGCCATCGGAGCTCCCCTCGGTGTTGGGGTCGCTCGCCTTGGCCGCACTGGAGCTCAGAAGCGAGGTCCGGCCGAGCACGGCAATCACCGCCATGAGTGCACCACAAAGCAGCACGCCCACGGGCGCGAGGTCGAAGAAGCCCATGTCGTAGACGCGGCCCTTGGCGATGGCCGTCTTCGCTATCATGACGTGCGAGGAGCCCAGCAGCGTGCAGGAGCCTCCGAGCTGGGAGGCGAACGACAGGGGCATCAGCAGCTTGCCAGGGTGCACTTGCAGACGGTTGCCCCACGTGCACAGGATAGGGATGAGCATCGCCACTGTGGCGGTGTTCGACAGAAAGGCCGACAAGAGCGCCACGGGGATCATCATCCGAGGCACCGCTTCGGCGAGGCTCCGTGGAGTGCCGAGCAGCACGCCGACGGCCTTCTCGAGCAGGCCTGTCTCCTGGATGGCCGCCGAGATGGGAAACAACAGGGCAACCTGAGTGAGGCCCTTGTCGCTGAACGAGTTGAACACGTCGTTGCGAGTGACGACGCCGCACAGGGCGAAAAAGCACGCGCACCCCAGGAGCAGTACCTCTGATGGCAGCCCCTGGATAATCAGAATAATGGTCGTCGCGAGCAGCACCATAGCTAAGACAGGCTTCCAAACGGGCAGAGTTATGCTGAAAGAACAGATAGTTTGTCCCGGCTTGTTGCCCTCCGGATCGTCCTCTGTGATCGTCTTGCAGACCTTCTCGGTCGGCTTGGACAAGTCCGTCCTCCTGCACACCTTGAAAACCACGTCCTTAAAATGGCCAAGGGAGACAAATAAGTATATGCAAAAAACATGGCTCCCCACATTTTCAATATTTTCGTCTTCCCTCCACTTCTTGCATTTTCCCATATTTCCCGGGGCATCGACATTTAGTGTGCCTGTATATTTTTCCCCTCCTGAGTCCTCCTGGCAGACGCCGCGTCCGCCGACCATCTCCTGGACATCCGCGTCCTTCTTGGACAGCTCGCAGTACTCCATGCACTGGGCCCGGCTCCCGATGCTGTCCAGGCTCGTGTCCACTGCGAAGTGGTGCTCTTTGAAGAAGTAGAGGCCCGCGATCGCCAGCGCAGCCATGACCGCAGAAGAACTAACAACGGCATCCGCGCAAGCCCTCGGAGCTCCGCGCAGACTTCTTGGAGCGGCGCTGGGCAGGAGCGTGCCAGGGGCGGCGCCCCTGGCACCGCCGGGCGGGGGGCCCAGCGCCAACCCGAGAAATCCGCGGGGAGCTCCGAAAGATGATGCCTGTGCCGCTGTTCTCTCTTCGAGATGATCGGGCCGGGCGAAAGGGGGGGATAGCAAAGGGGGGGGTTGAGAATCAGCTCGCGTGGCTGATTTTCCCGGCGCGTCCCGGCGCCGGGAGGCGCCCATGCATCGAGAATCGGGCCCCTGGGTGGCTCCGAAACCAGCTGCGTGTAGCAGATTTCGTAACCCCCCCCTTTCCCTATCCCCCCCCTTTCGTCCAGCCCGAGATGACTGTGAGCACGGAGCGGCCGGGCGTGAGGTAGTTGCGCCTCAGGTTCTCCCCGAACGGCTGGTACGGCTCGAGGACCCTCGCCGAGCCCTGGCGCGTCGGGCGCCTCAGGCCGTAGCCGGCGCCGGCGTCCGCGATCCCGTCAAAGGCCAGCAGCTGCGACTGCCTCTCGCAGTCGGCCCGCGGCTCCGCGCCTGCTGCCATGGCTCCGCGTGCCTGCCTGCGGGTGCGCCGGAGCTCCTCGGGCGTCCAGGGGGGGGCGGCCGAGAAGGAGCGTCCAGTAAGCCGAGGCCAGGGCAGGGCAGTCGCAATCGGGCAGGGACAGATCGGGGGTCTCTGGGATCCAGCGATGCTGTAGGATCTATCGGGCGCCGCGGCCTTCGCAGAGGGTTCTGAAACGCTCTGCGAGTGTTCCCGAACGCTCTGGAACTATTTGTCCGCCCCAGCTCAGCCCGACCCAAGAATCGGGGATGGACAGACCTTCCTTTAGTAGAACGTGGTTTAGTGAAAACGACCTGAGGCCCAAACCTGGCGGGCGCAAGCCTGGAAAATAACGGCCGCGGCGCCCTCTCGAGAACCGAAAACGGACAATTCACTAATCGACGTGTCACTGTTGGGGGTTCTGTCCACCCCCGAAAGAAGGGGGTGCGCAGATCATGGCCCGAGGCACGTCCGCGGCCCAGGGGGGACCGAGGGAAGCACTGAACGCAGAAGGGGGGGCCATGAATATCTGGGGAGGCATCGCGGCTCCTGCCACGACATATCCCCCCCCCCTGCTCACCACACCCCTCCTGGCCGCCCCCGACGAGCAGCCAAGGGGGCTGGACCCCTGGCCGGGATCCGCTGGCAGTCACTACAATCGGCCGGAGCCCAAATGGCATGCGGAGGAGGAGGAGGAGGAGGAGGAGGAGGAGGAGGAGGAAGGAGGAAGGAGGAAGGAGGAAGGAGGAGGAAGGAGGAAGGAGGAAGGAGGAGGAGGAGGAGGAGGAGGAGGAGGAGGAGGACGAGGAGGAAGAGGAGGAGGAGGAGGACGAGGAGGAGGAAGGAGGAGGAGGAAGAGAAGGAGGAGGAGGAGGAGGAGGAGGAGGAAGAGGAGGAAGAGGACCAGTGTAAACCCAAGGCTCATCAACGATGTTGGAATACACCCTCCCACCAAGCTCCCTCTTCATAGGCCCCTACGAGGGTTCATTTCCACTGGGAGAATTGTCTCGTTTGGGGACAACCGTGTGAAAATCCTTGAGCGTGCCAGAACACCGCCGTTCTCAGGATTTCAACGCCACGAACTAAGAAGATTGTCACGTCTTGGCGATCCTGGGTCGCGCCAGAGTCCCATTCCTGGGACTTCGGCACTGAGAACCCACGCAACTGTTGCGATCTGACCATCCCGAGCCGTTCCCAAACACCATGACTGGTACGCTAACCATGAGAATCGATGAAGCGATTGCAAATGTTTACGGCGAATGCGCGCAGCGCTAAAGCGAGAGCCACATTTTGCAAAGGAACCGCTCTGAATCCGTGAAGCTCTTGCAATATTTTAAAAAGGATGTGCGCGGCGCTAGGGCGAGAACCACATCTTGAAAAGGAACCGCTCTGAATCCTCGAAACAACTGTTTGCAATTGTTTAAAACGAGTGCGCGCGGCGCTGAGGCGAGAGCCACATTTTGAAAACGACCCGCCCTCAATCAGCGAAACTCTGTGCAAATTGTTTAACGAATGCGCGCGAGACTAAGGCGAGAGCCACGTTTTGAAAACCACCCACCCCCAATAGTGAAACTCTTGCAAATGTTTGAAACGAATATGCGCGGCGCTAAAGCGAGAACAACATGTTGGCAGCGACCCGCCCTCCATCTGTGAAACTGTTGCCAAAGTGTAGGCTTCAGGATCATAGATGCTGAGGAAGGCTCAAGCGAAACGCCTGGCCCGCCCTTTCGACCTGCCTCGGAGTGGGAGAGGGAGGAGTTATCAAAAGGGAAAATCGGCGGTGGATAAACCTCCCTTTAGTAAACCTCCCTTTAGTGAAAGCGGCCTAGGACCGAAACCGACGGACCTGGACCCGCAAAAATGACGGCCGCGACGCCCTCTCGCGAACCGAAAATGGCCAATTCACTAATCGACGTGTCAGGGTAGGAGGTCGATCCACCTCCGAGAGAAGGAACGAAGGAGGAGGAGGAGGCTCCGATCCTCCTCGGCGCAGGAGCTCTGCTACCCCCTGCACACCGCACGGCTTCGCTGCGCTCCCTTCTCAGGACAGACGGCCGAGCACCGACCGACCCTGAAAGCCCCGCCCGACCGCGCGCCGCGGACTGCGGACCCGCAGCGGAGCGCCCTCGAGCGGCCCCCCCTCGTCACCGAGGACGGGCCGTAACGGCAGCAGAGGCAGGAGCAAGAGGAGCAGAAGGAGGGCCCCGACCGCTGCCACCGTTAGGGGGCCGCATGCGAACCCTACCCCTACCCCCCACGATTTCTGAGCTCCCGAGCGAAGTGAACCCCACCCTCCCCCTCAGACATCGTGGGGGGTAGGGGTAGGGTTCGCATGTGGCCCCCTAACCGTGCCCTGTTCCTCGACGTGGCCCCGCCGACGGCGACGGCGGCGGCGTCACGCGGCCGCACCGCCAGGCGGCGGCAGGTCTGCTCCGAAAGGGGGCCCGGCCAGGCAGATGTCCGGCACGAAGGCGCAGTTGTTCACGTCGAGCGCCTCGTCGGGGATGCCGCCGGAGCTGGGCCGCGGAGGCTCCGCGCCGCCGAACGCACGGCGGTTCACGAACAGCACCTCCAGGACGTCTGGGACCGGGCAGCCGGCGAGCTCCACAACGTCCCCGTAGCTGTTGCCGTGCGCATGGAGCAGGACGAACCGCTCCGCGAGCCGCTCGAGCGCCAGCGCCTTGGTCTGGAAGCTGCCCCCCCGCGACGGCCGCCCCAGCCAGTGGAGCTCCATGCAGATCTGCGAGAACCGCCCGAGGACCTCGGGCGACGTCGCCAGTATCGCCTCAAATTCGGCGCCCTCGACGTCCACTTTCAGCATCACCTCCGCGGTGGCGCCCCCGGCGCACGCGCCAGCCCCGGCGGCGTGCGAGGCCAGCGTCCCAGCCACTCCTGGCACGTCCCTGCCCGCCAGGGCCTCCCGGACGAACGTGAAGTTCGGGTGCTGGCGCGGCGGCCCGGGCACGGTGTGGTCGTACAGGAAGACTCTGGCGCCCCCCTCTGCGAGCTCGAGCTCGAAGTCCACGTTGGTGTCGACCCCGTAGCTCAGCAGCAGGCCGCAAAGCGGGCGACGGCCCGCGTCCCACACCACGTAGCCCCCGTCCTCAAGCGAGCGCAGAGCGGTATTGAGATAAACTGGTCCGCCATCGAGGGCGCCTGTCCCAGGGCGGCTAGGAAGTATGCACTTCTACCCTTCTGGTGGCAGGAGGGGGCATATGCTTTCCAGCCGCCCTGGGACAGGGATCCCCGATCGAGGAAGAGTTTGCCTTGTACCGCTCTTCGCCCGCTGAATCCTGCGGGGGGCCCACCCGCCGCTTGCGGCCGCCGCTCGCGCCCGGCGCCTCGTGCAGGCGCAGGGCGGCGACGAGGCGGCGCGCCCACGCCGCCTCCTCCGGCGCGGGCGCCGCAGCCGGCGGCCAGCCGGCCGCCTCCTCGGCCAGCACCCGGCGCTGTGCCGACCGCAGTGCGCAGAGGTCCGCGGCCGCGGCGGCGGCGGCGCCGCCCGCCCCGCCGAGCCGGGAGAGGACGCGGCACAGGGCGCCCTGCAGCCGCACGAGCCAGACGCTGCCGGCGGGGCGCAGCGCGCGCTCCTCGGCGAGGGCGCCCTCCAGCAGCGCCGCGGCGCGCGCCAGGCCGTCCTGGCCCTCCGAAGCGGGCGAGGCGGCGGCGCGCGCGCAGCGCGCGGCCTGCTCCGCGTGCCGCAGCGCGGAGCAGTGCCTCCTCTCCCGCTCCAGGCGATGCGAGGGCGCCACCTCGTGGCCACAGCCGCCGCACACGATCGCGTCGTCGCGAAGGGCCGCGCCGCAGGTGCACCTCCACCCGCCGAGCGCCGCGCCCCCGACGCCGCAGAAGTTCGCCTGGCAGCGGGGACAGAGGCAGCGGAAGCCCTGGTGCTCGAGCAGGGAGTACCTCCTGGCGAGCACGTCCTCCAGCTCGTCGACGTAGGACACGCACACCTCGTCGCCCTCCGCCAAGGGCAGAAGGCACCTAAGGATCACCTCTGGCCCGTCGAAGAGCACCTCTGCGTTAGGGCAGCAAGAGTGGTTTAGCAGCGACAGGGACGCGGGCACGGCCAGCGAGCCTTTCTTGACGCTGCTCCCGATGCGGCGCAGGTCCGCTTCCACCACCTCTTCATCGGTGGGCGCGAGACTGAAGCGCCCGAGCTGCCGGCCCTGCCGCAGCACGCCCTGCACGGACGCGCACCGCTCCGCGAGGCCCGTGCGCGTCCCGGGCAGCTGCCGCCAGTGGCGGGGCCCCGCGCAGAGGCCGCCGAGAGGCTGCTGCGGCCGCGCGCCGCCAGGCGACCGCGCCTCGTGCCGCCGTAGCAGCATGCTGGCGACCAGGAGCACCGTCGGCTCGGCGCAGCCCAAGCCCGCGAACTCCCAGGCCGCGTCGGGCGGCCCGCGTTCCACGGGCGCCGCCGCCGCCGAAGGCCCCGAGGGCTCCGAGGACCCCGATGGCCCGGAGCACCACGCGGAGCACGCCTCGCGTGCGACCTCCTCGCCCGGTTCGAACGCGCGCCTCGCCAGCAGGCCGC